ACAGTACAAAGCAGTTTAAAAACCATCGACTTCGGAGTCCAGTAGAGTCCATCAGCAGCAAGCTGCCCTGCTGATGACCGAAAGAAAGCAGGGGATAGGAAACAGCAGCTCTTGTGTTAACCTGAGAGCACTATACTGCATCCCGAAGGAGCAGAACTTTCTTGGGTCAGTTCCCTTCTGGGGAACAGAGCACTGGGTACTTTAATGCTGCTACACACTGCGTAAGCAAGAGCAGACCTGGTCATTATAGGTTGCTCAGAAGGAAGCAGCAAGCTGTCCCCCGAAGGCTGCTTTTTGACAGCGAGCTGCATAGAGAAATAAAAATAATGTGTTTGTTTCCCAGCAGCTCATTACTTTCCCTCAGCCCCTCTCTAAGCCCCTTCTAACACTTTCTCCATGCATGTGCCTCCTGGCCAGACTGGAGTAGCAATGTCCTTCTGGAAGGCTGCTTTGGAGGCTACTTGGAGTGAGCAGGGCAGATGCCTCTAAAAGGAGGAGGGCCAACTTCTTTCCATTCTCTTAACTTCAAGATTACTCACAGTTCTTCTTCCTTTATGCACTCCTACTTCACCTTCCTCTCCCCTTCCCCCCCCCCCCCCGCGGCTGGGGAAGGCTGGGAGCCAGGGGGCTTTTTCCTGTTGAAACAGGCACAGGGGCTGGGGCCTTACTCTGTCCAAGGGCAACAGCACTGACTGCAGTTACTGGCTACTCCACAGGGCAAAAAGGAAGCAGCAGGACCTCCGGCAATGTAGAGCCCTGTGAGACCAGGGGAAGGATGCATTGGCTTTTGGGGCAAAGCAGAGGAAGGAAAGGGGCAGGGGCTGCCGTGCTGTGGGGTGAAGCCCTAGAGGCAGTGGGAGGAAGCAGGGAGGAGAGTTGGATTCTCTCTTTAGCAGCAGGCGATTCTTTTGGTAGCCTCTTTGGCAGTAAAGGGGAAGCCATGGGGGCCTGCACAAATGGCCCCCAAAGACCACATTTTTAGAATGCTTTGAACCTGCATTCCCTTGTCATTGACCTTCAGAGATAGAAAAGGAGAGAATGATGGAGGTGGGGGAGCATAAGCCCCTTTGCAGGGCATGCCCAATTGTGATGAACAAGCAGTGATATAAATATCACAATAAAATTACTGTGCACACTTTGTTTCTGGGTTAGAAAGATGGTTATAATTTATTCTAAGCAGGTTTTTGAAACATCTGCAAGGACAATATAATAGTGCGATCATTTGTCTCCCATTTTCTAACAGTCTGAAATCTGCACATAATAAACAAATATTTGAGATATTGACATTTAAAGTTCAGTTCTCATGTCTTCATTTAAAGATTCCGTATTGTCTCTTCTAAGGGCCGTACCAGACCTGCTTGTTTGACTCAAAAGGGTGGTGGGGGGTTGTTTCATAGATCAAAATGAGTGCACAAAGGATGGAAGCAAGAACTTCCACTTGTCTCCATTCTCTACGATCTTTTCACGCCATAATACTTTTTCATGTCTTTCTTTAGCCTGTCTCTGATATTGGATGTGAGCCAGTCTGGGACAAAAAGAATCCGATAGTATCACAACTAGAGATGATAGACAAATTTGGGTGGGTCCATATGTCAATAAAATTTTTCATAACCAAATGTCTCACTTTCAAACCAGTATGTGAAGTAAAACAGAGCAATCCTTCCAAATGCACATCTCTCCATTTTGCAACAGAGTAGTCCAGTCGCACAAAAGTTGAAAATATTTGTGAAAACAGGGTCCAGAAATGCATTGCGTTAGGAAACCTGCTTGCAAGAAGGTCATAGATTAGGCAACATTTGTGTAAAAGGCATGTTAGGAGAAATGAAAAGGAGACATCCCGTAACTTAAAACACAGTCGCCACTGCTAATCACAATGGCAACAGTGCAGAACCTTTTTCAACCCCAAGGCCAAATTCCATTTCAGAGAAGCTTTCAGAGGCCACCTTCCCATCGCCCTGTGATAGCTGAAGCAGATTCAGAGTTAGAGCAAATCCAAAAGGCAAGCCAATAAATCAGGCAAATGGTCAAACACAACGGTATCGGCCCAGTTACTGGATCGGGCCAGTATAGCCAGACTGTATGAGCCAAGCACGGAATCAGGATGAGATACAAGCAAAGGGAGCACAGAGTTAAGTAGTCAGATCCAAGACACAATTTAAAAGCCGAGTCATACAGAAGGTCAAGTTTCAATCACAGACTAGGTCTGGAAAGCAAGGCATTGGAGCTGAAAGAACAATGTGGTTCCAGCACTGGCTAGAGTGAAACTGAACGCTTAGCTGCAGTGCATTATGGGATCTCCACCAAAAGACCTCCTGGGAAGGACGGCTTTGCTCTCAAGAAGTCCTCTTTTTAATTGTGCATTTCTCAAAGGATCCTATTGACTGGAAGTGCAACACCAGTGAAAGAAGTATGTTTCTGCTTGAAGTTCTTACTAACACAGCAGAATTTAGGAGAAGAATTTCAGCCTTCTAGAAAGTAAGAAAAATGCACAAGGGTTTGCGTTGCTGCCTGGGCCTGCCTTTCCTTTAAAGATTTCGGTTTAGCAGAATTTAAAATGGAGTGAACACTAGAGGGTGGAATCAGTACTGGCAGGGGAGGATTGGATTCCTGAACTAAACAGTCTTTTCCATCTCTAGTTAGCACTCTTTTGTAGCTTAATGCTTAATTATATATGAGTATTTTATAAGCCCATTTAATTTCCCAGACCCAAACATGCTTAATTAAGCAAGAGGCTTTGAAAAGTAACTTTATAACAATCAAAATGAGATGAGATATTGGAAGCAACGAGCAGAGAAGGAAGCAAGAAAGCTAGAAAGATAGGTAGCTGAGGTTAAGTCCTGTGACTACTCAATGAAGGACTGAATTTGATCATTATTAATATCAGGAAAGGTGCAGCCAAAGGAAAGCAAGCATGGGACTACAATCCCTTTGGAACAATCTATCATCCACCAAAAAGGATGTCTATGGAAATTACTGGAATTGATGCCTGTTTTTTGAACTGAGTTAGTAGCAGCAGGAGCAGAAAGATATAACAGATCTTCAACGGAGGAAGGGCTATTATGCAAAAACATCTTTAGAGGAAGAGCTTTCTTGTTTCTGCAACAGAGAAGGAAAGACTTAAGTCCTCTCTCTATTACGTCTTTCTCCCCAAAACCTATTAACTCCCCACCTGGGGATGCTATTAGCACTTTTAAAATCTGCATGGCAAATGCAAAGATGCTCTTGAAACTGCTTCAACAGTCTCCATGAAGCAGGAATGCAAGCGATTTCTTTGATGTGCTGCAAAATATCACATCTAGTCACTCTTAAGTTCTCCATTTGCTTTGTGATGGTGCTTTTTAGGATGGGACTCTCGAGTCTTCTAGGTGATAAGCTGTTTGACATTAGCATAATTCTTTCTTCGCCACAGTAACTGAAGTAATTTATTCACATTCCAAATGCTACACTATAATTTGACAAAGTATGACCAATATTTGATGGATCAGTTGGCAACTGAGATATAGATATCTGTCTATCTCCTGGCTTGTTTCTCTGCCTATTTGCTTTTTCACACATTCAAGGCTACTCCTAACACATTTAAAACAAAACACTCCATTTTCAATAGCTCTCTGTGTATGTGTGTTTAGAAAACTAGAAAATAGAATATACTGGCATAAACAGATCAGACACCAAATTCACTGTGTTAGCAGAGTAACTTCAGCTCCACAAGCAAAATGACTGTCAGACAGAAAGGTCTTTGACCAAATGGTGCAGATGAAAGACCAAAAAAAAAGGGGGGGGGGATAGATCCATTCTAAGATGAGAATTCCAATTTCCTTGCTAACTAATTCTCAGCTACTGATAGGGCATGGAAGAAATTCCCCTCAATAGATCTCAGTCCGTGGTGAAGAAATGGCCAACTATCTCTTCCTATGTTGACTCAAAAAAGGCAGAGATTTTTGCCTTTCCAGAGCAGCAGTGGTCTTTTGTTTTGCTTTATATTCCACCATTTCTCTTGCAGGTAACCCCAGGGGCATACCTGGTCCCTCCTCTTCTTCACCCTGTTCTTAGAGCAGCTTTGAGAGGCAGGTTAGGCTGAGGTTAAGTGACTAGCCAGATTTGTTAGACACTGGGGAACATTTTGTGAAAGCCGGGTCTGTACAGGTGGGATAGGCTCCACTTGGACCTGAATGGAACCAGACTGCTGGCACATAACGTAAAAAGGTGGGGGAAAGACAGCAGACGCTGAGAAGCTTCTGCTTGTGGTCAAATCATCTCAAGTGGACAAAGGGAGGAAGCGTCTGATTGCCCAAACATGGGAGGGGAGGAAATAGGGCAACAAGGTGAAATGAGACATGATGACCAGCTGGAGAGGAATGAGTACCAGAACAAACATGACACACGTCTGGAGAGGGACAATGGATTTAGGTAATCCAAATAATCTCTAGTGGATGAAGGGGAGGAAGTTCCAGATTGCCCAGCTGTAGGAGGTAACAAGGTTAGAGTAATGGAGAGGGCAAAGTGCCCAGGACATCATGTAAGACATAAATGTTGTGGAGCCATTAGGTAACAGTGACCATGCTGGTGCCAGACTTAATATACAGTTGGGTGGAAGACTGCCAAAGAGGTCAAGCACGGTTGCATTTGACTTTGAGAAGAGGAAACTTCTCAAAAATGAGGGAGCTGGTAGATGAAAAATCTAGGCTGTGCCTTATAATTAAAGCATTCCTTCTGTCTTTTGACACCTCTGTTAACCTACTGGGGTCTAGAAAAGGGCATCTATGTTCAGGATCTCTAAACTCAAATAAGCAGGCTACTGAGGGAATTCACCCTGGTTTATTCCATGTGAATCAGAACTAGAAAAAATAATGAGGCATAATTCATTAGGACTAGTTCAGCTCAACTGAAATGAGGATGGCTTAGGGGGTTGTTTCCACAGATGATGCCCAGTAAACAGCCAACAGTAACAATCGACTCATGGAAACAGAAGAACCAACATTATCAAAATGAGCTAAACATACATTTTCAGTAGTTCCAGTGATCACGTGGAGGCCATCATATGTTGACTTGATATACATTCCCTGAGAAAGAAGGAGATAAGAATAATTAATGTCCACAGGTGGAGAACAGCAGATGAACAAACGGGACCTGCCACAAAAAGTTGCAGTGTGGTTTAGAGTATTATGCAGGCAACTCTTTTGCAGAATACACCATTTCTTTTCTTGTTCTCCCTGGTTTTCCACCCAACCAGTAGCATCTCATTGTGAACCCATGGTCATAGGAAGTACATGGACTTTAAAGGTTCACAGCACTCTTTCTTTCTGATGAGAGAGTAGTACTATGTGTCCTTAAACTTGCTTATCTCAGCCTCAAGCTTATTGGTCCTTAAAATGGATCCAAGGGTGAAAGTAGCTTTGTTTGCTCACATCACCAAAATATTATTCCTGCTGAAATTGAGCGTGAAGGGCTTCAAAATGATCTTTCTGAATAGCCCACATAGCTACATAAATTCTTCATGTTGTCATTACCAGAAGCTCAGAACCAACTAGAAATGCGTAAGGGTTTCTTTTGGCTGAACTTGTCCAAAGCAAAAGGACTAGATTTGTATTTCCCGAATTACACAGATCAGAACAAATATCCATTTGTTTATGTACTTCTTGGAATTTTAGGAGATAGTTCTTGGATCAAAAAACATAAACAAAAGCTTTATAGAAGTATATATTTTTTTAATTGATGCATGCACCACATTTCTACCAAAAATACTGAAAATGCATTGAAGAAATGTGCATTGGTGAAAATGTGTATTTGAAAATAATGCATGCTTCTGTACATTTTAAAATTAAAAGATGCTGACTGGGGAGGAAATGGGATGGAATGGCCTGATGTGCAAACAGATGTGACACTGAAACATGGGACCTAGGTCCGAATGCACTTCTCCCCATTGAACCCTGCTTCTAAAGGACATCTGATGGCCCAGTCTTGGCCATAGGCTACTGGCTAGATGACCTCTGGTTTGCTCTGGTGAGGCAGTTCTCACCTAAAGTGAAAGAAGCAGCATTCTAGAGGAGGAGTATGTGAGGGATTCCATCGGAAAGCAGACATCCCTATGATTGGCTTGGTTCGGGTCCCCAGATTCTGGTTCACAGCCCATGTGCTAGTGCCAATGTATTGCAGTACAAGTCAAACCAGCAAACAGAAGTCCATCTGTAAGAAGACTGTGATTGGCATCCTTATTTTTCAGACTGCCTATGGAATTTTTACAAGTCAGCATTGGGAAAGTATGTGAGTAACAGTATTTTGCCAAATAGCAGTGGACCACCTGTTTGGGGTGGTGTTTTGGACAACAATAGGCCAAGTATGGCAGTTCTCAAGATTCTCACAAAAAGTGCTAAGCCCTTGTGTTTTTCAAGAGCCATTTCCTGGGAGGGTGGGTTTCCCTGTTGCACAACATCTGTATTCTAGAGCTGATGGCTAAGTATTCTTTCCTTGGTTTTAAGTCTATTTGCAGGCGAAACATGTTTTGCTGGTTGGAAGGGATATTTAAGCAAATTTTCCTGCTACTTTCCCCTAATTTGGACAATTGTGATGATATATCAATTCTTCCTCCCTCCCTCCCTCTTGATGGTTAGTGGCTGGCAGTAGTCATCTTTTCCCAGAATGCCCGGGATGCAGTTTCATTCCTGGGAATTCTGGGTGAAAATGGTGACTGTTAAACAAAATGAGGAATTGTTGTTAGGTTGCTAAGTTGCAAAGAAAGAAAAGATCACTGTGACTTGAATAACACATCTGCTGAACACTTTGAAGAAATTTGTTTCCGCAAAACAGGAGGTTGTTTTGTTTTTATGGTGGGAGTTTCTGACTCCCAGAAAAGTTGAATAGACACGTCTCATTCAAGAACATTCAGCTCAGCGCTTTCAGAATTCCTTTGAAGAGCTTGACTCTGCTGTGACTTACAATGAACAATGTAAACTCTGCAGGAGGTCAGAAGCAAGTTAGACAAGAATGAACAAAACTCGCTAGATTAAAATGAAGAAACTTCGAGAATCTATATATACACCACTGAGTTTGAGGACAAAGATACACTAAGTGTTAAAGAGGTACGCTATGAGCTCTTGCATCCAGAGATGAATAGTCCTGACAGGGTGCTAGGGTTCTGACTGCTCCCACCATCGTTCTGCCAAGGAGATTTCTAATATAAAAGGAAAATAGGCTTGTTTTCTCAACCTTTGGGGGGGAAATGTATGAATCTACCTGAGAGCTGAAATGCAATTCTGTCCTAAAAAGCTTCCCATCCCCTTGATCCTCAAACAGAAAGCTAACAAGCAAGCTTGTGCTCTTTCCAGCCATTATAGTTTCCTGTGAAAAGTAAAAGATGCCAGTGGGAGAAAAATAGAACTTCAAAATGAGAAGCATAAATGTGAATAAGATTAAACAACAAACAGTGTTTTTATCAGCAGAACCTACTTCTGTCATCTTCTCCACACTAGTGCATGGAGCATCATCTCATTATGAAGTTGATGGAGATTTATACACTGGCTTTATTCAGCTTGCCTTCCCTATATACCAATAGATGCACTTCTCTGTATTTTCTAGAACAGCCTTTTCCAAGCTGGTGCCCTCCAGATGTTTTAGAATAGAACTCTCATCAGTCACAACTAAGGATGTGAGAGGAGAGGATGTAAGGGTGTGTGTGAAAATGTAATACCTTTTGCCAATTTATTTCCTTCCCCAGATTCCAACCTGCCAACTCTGCACTTTTCTAAAACTGCCTGTAATTTGCACAATTAAAGAAAGAACGGCTAAGGAAGTTTGCCACCCTGTGAAAATTGGAAGATGAAAAGTGTGTCCCCCTTGCATGATTTGCCACAAAATGCACTAGGCCCATGTGCTTGTACATCCAGGTTTGCACAAACTGGCTAATTTTACCCAAACACACTAGGATGTTGTGCCCTTTTGGGTTTCCGTTTGCACAAATTGGCTGATTCTATGCATAACTCCTTGGCAGGGTTTTGATTTTTATTTATCTTTTTGGCCTATCTTAAGAGATGGAAGTTGGCCAAACTCTCCCGGCTCAACCCACATCCAAGTCATCCGTTCTCAAGTGGGCTTGAAGTCCACAAAGCAAACAAGAGACAGATTTCCATTTTGCCACATTCCTATGCCCAGCCAACATGTCAGGCATGATGGAAGATTGTTGTTGTTGTTGTTGTTGTTGTTGTTATTATTATTAGAACATTTCTATGATACAGTACAAGGCATCTGAAAATTGGAGGAGATAGCTTTGACTCCCTTTATTCACTTTTTTAAAATTTAGGAGATATATCCCACTACAACCACTTGAAGCTTACCAAAAACATGGATTCCAAAACGTCAAGGCGGCAGCTAACGTTATCCTTATTGGATGGAGATTCAACAGAAGGAGGATGGGGCTATTGGGGTCACACTAACTCTGAGCATTAACCATGTTGGCTGCATTTATGGGTGTTGTAGTCTAAAACGTTGAGAGTGTACCAGATTGCCTACTGTACTTATGGAATGCACTCCCCAGAGAGGTCCGCCTGGCGCCGTCGTTATTTGTTTTTCAGCGCCAGGCCAAGACCTTTTTATTTAAATGTTATTTTAATTGTTGAATTTATTTATTGATTTTATATTTATGCCAGGATGTCTCCAGATTTTATGTATTTGTATAGTTATTTATTTGTATTGGAAGCCACCCCGAGGCTTTTGCGAATGGGGCAGCATATACGTGTTCCAAGTAAATAAATAAATATAAATAAATACTCTACGCCACATTCTCCAGAAGAAACCACTCTGTTTTTGCCAGGGCCCCGATGCTCCCCAGAACCTGCTCATCATCACAAGGAAGCAGCTGTCAGAGATGCAAAATAGTTCCGTGACTCTGCAAGACTGGGAGGCTAGTTCAGTTCAGGAGAGATCAAAGGGACTCGGAGAGCAGCCTCTTCCCGTGAGCAGTGGTGACTGGGACATGCTCTTGGATCCTCACTCGGCACCGGGCACACTGCCTGACCCTTTTGCAGGGATTCACGTTCCGACCATGGCCACCAGCAGAAGGCAAGCCTTTGCAAGGGCAGCTGCTTGCATGGAAGGCTTGATGCAACCCTGGGTGAGATGGGATTTTCCCATCAGGCAGACATCTTGCTAGAAGCAGCTGCTTGCAGAAAGATTTCCTACTGCAGATGTCCAGATGTGCACAAGGATCAGGCAGCGTGTGCTGGGAGTGCCTCACCACCCCCTAATACACATGTGGTCTCCTCCTCATATCAGTTCTTCTTGAAGGGGACCTTTGGCAGAGGCAGTTTGCCTGGAGCTAACCGAGGGCCTGCTATGCAGGCCTGGTTGACCTACCGAACAACCAAGAGCTACCAAAAGCTGCTGGGACGCATTTGTTGAAACACTCTTTAGGGTACAAAGTAGTTTACAAGAATAAACACAATCAAATCCACCAAAACAATGCACACAATAAAGACGAGGGGGCACTGTGCGCGGATTCAGTGGTCTGACCAATTTCTAAGCAGTGTCATGAAACAGCAGCTGAACAATTGGAATTTTTACAGCCATTTCTAAATGCAAGTAAGCAATGAACTGCAATTATCATCACAGCTTTAGACCCTGCTTTCTGGCAGTTACAGCTCCAGCTTTCTACATGGATAGACTGTGGAGCAGATTATGATTCAGAGAGTGATTTAAGACACAGTCCTATTGACTGGACTTCTGGGGCTTCCGTTCTACCAAAAGGAGCAGCGATGAGTGTCTCCAGCTGCCTGTCCATCTGCCCTGCATTTTTTCAAGATGAGTATCCCACCACCACTTTTTTCCCTATCCAGGTGAAGAAGAGAAGACAGTCAGGGAGACCTCAACCCGTGTTCTCCAGATCCTCGCCTCCCCAACCCAGTGAAACACCCCTTCCCCTCCCTTTCTGGAGGTTCCAATCAGGAAGAGGCAGCTGACATGGTCATTTCCATGCTGACCTCAAGGGGAAGGGCTCTCTAGGTCCCCTTCAGAGGTCGGAGTGTTGTATCCAATCTTGGAAGAGTCTCAGAAGCAATCCTAAGGTTGTTGGGATGCAGAGATCATAGGACTGCTCCTATAGACATCAGTTCAGTGGCATAACTCCTCTCCTTGCTGGGAAACGCTCACCATGTATTGGGAGGACTTGGGTCAAGGAGAGAGAGAATTCTAGTCAATGCTTCTTCATGGAGGGGAAACTGTATAACGTCTCCTTCCTGAAATAACTCTTGGTTGTTCTTACTGTTGTTGGTTGTTCTTACTGATGCTATTCACAATACCATCCATTCAGTTATAATCTATACGTTCCAACCAGGAAGCATTACTCTTACACAAATCCCATTAATGTAAATGGAGTCGGCACAGGAATGACGCTTGGTTGATTGCCTCCTATATTGACAAAATGCTGAGTGAAATGAAGCAAAAATAGCATATCATTCTGAAAGAGAGACCTCCCCATTGGTCACCAGGGAAATTTCATATATAGAGGATTTGCTTGCAGCAGTTCTTGCCAGACCGGGGAGACTGTGATAACACTGCTTGCTGGAATCCAAATGAAAATGAAATAAATTCTCCATATATCAGGCACTGTTGTGCCAAGGCGCTTGCTGGGTTAGGCTTGCACGCAGATGGGAGCTGGGATAGATAAAGCTGTCAGATGCCATTCCATTAATTTCTCATTTTTCTGTCATTAAATTCATTCTGTGCCATGTCCACATCATTTTGTGCTTTTTTCTTCTAGAAGTCTGCATGAAAACTCACTTTTCTCCTTATGTATTTTTTTGCAAATGAGTTCTCTTAACATTGTGTGCAAACCTTCACATTTCTCCTTTTAGGAGGTTTTGTATGCATATTTTAAAGTGCTAACTATGTTACAATATTTGGGAAAGTTTACATATCATTGCAAATCTATGCTCAGGTTTGTGCGGAAGTAGGATCTGTGGTGCTGGGAATTCTATTCCATTTGAATCCAAAGGAATTCCACACATTTCCATTCTGGTAAGTAGAAAGGGGCATTATCAGTCCCCTCCTCCCCCAATTCTGTAAAAGTTTTGCACATTTTTCCTAGGTTCTATCATCTGTGCAATTGGTGACTTGCACACATGGCAATTTGTACAGTGAGGGAATCTTAAAATGTGCACCAAGTATGTTCTGATTTTTAATTTTTAATTGACAATTGTGTGAAACCTGAAGAAACACATTCCCCTCTTGTAAATATCCTTGTCAGTTCCATTCCCTACACACAGTTCTTCATTTATCCCAGTGGAACAGTCCATACTTCTAAAAGAACTCGTTGTCTTTCTCTCCCCACCTGCCACCCACATTGTTGGGAAATGCCGAAGCGGAAGATGAAATGGACTGCATCACATAGAAATGCAAGGTAGCCGAACAAGGCAAGCTTGCTGAATTGGCCCAATTCCTCACTAAATAAAAATGTTTTTCTTAGTGATGGAAAGTCAGCCGAGAGGAAGACTAATGGTTCTTTAGTATCAGGGAGTTCTAGAGCCTGGATGTAGCCTGGGAAAAGGCCATCCCACAAGGGTCTCCCTGGAATATCATAAAACCAAGGCAGATTTAGGTAGGGAAGGCTTCCAAATCAGTTGAAGCTAAGAAACAGCCTACATTGGTTTGTGAATTCCTGGTATTCACAGATTTGCTTATGTGGGTTTGACCAAACAGAGGTTAAATATCTTCTCTCTTTCAGTTTTTTAGAGGTAGGAATTGTGAGAATAAGGTCGAAACACTCACTGATGCCCATTAGGCCTCCATTTGGCTGGTCCTTCAAATGCCCCTCGGAATGTTGCTCTGTCCTAATATCAGTTCATTCTGGAGAAAATAGCTTTGTTGTTTTGAAATTGTTTTACCTGTTTTATTTTTTTAATCTTCCTGGTTTAAACTTTTAGTAGAGAACTGCCCTGATGAGTTTTTATTGATGGGCTATAGTGAAATGTTTCAGGTAAGTCAGTTCATAAGCAAGGGATCCATCCGTTGTAGCTAGGTATCCTAAGCATTTGTATTATGGTAATAATTTTAGTCCAAAATGTCCAGCCTGTAATATTTCTAAATATTGCTTGGCCAGAAATGGAAACAACACAAAAGAATCACGTAAGTGCATGGTGCCCCGTTCCGTTTTAACACTTTTAAAATTAATCGGTTAAAAATCGTCTGTAGCTGAATACAGTTTTGTGGAGGTGTTACTTACCAAACCTTCACTGGGCATTATGCTGGTAAGGTGAACGACTTCCAGGTGAGCTGACTGAGACACCAAAGAGTCGGACGAGAGTGAGATGATGTGATCACAGATACCAGAGAGTGTTTTACACTGGGTGGAGAAAGAGGGAGAGAGAGAGAGAGATCATTGCAAGCAATTTAAGGGACACAGTGAATGACTAAAGTTTAAAAAATGTCTCCTGCATGAGTAACAATTCAGTAACATTGTACAATTCTAAAGGCACAATTACAACAAAGAAAAAGGGTAGAAGACAGCAGAGGAAGCCCACGTGGCTTCACAGAAAGCATAGAGATGATCTGAAAACAACCCCCAAAAAGACCTATATAGGAAGAATAAAGGCAGGGAGCACGTTCCATGGATGGCGGAGGTGACAAACAGGCAGACGCGTCCCTGGTTGGCAAGATAACAAGGCTGAGACTTGCTTAGTTTGGCCACATCATGTGATCAAACCCATTGAAAAAAGATATACTACTTGGAATGCTCAGTGGCAAGAGAAAACCAGGTCGCCAAAGAGCGAGGTGGTTAGGCTCCATCAAAAAGGATGCAGCCACAGCATAGCTCAGCTGAAAGAGGTGGCACGGAATCGGAAAGTGTGGTGAGATTTGGGCCATGGGATCTCTTATAGTCAGACATGACTGAACAGCTGAACAGAACAGGATGCAAGGATGGCATCAGGAAGGCTAAAGCTAGGAATGGATTGAGGCTAGTGAGAGATGTTAAAAGGATGAAAGAGAGAAATTTCTCTCAAAATGAAATGCTTGTAAGAAGTAACCATTCTGAACCCAAACCCATTATGCCTGGCCCATTTCAGGAAAAATTACACTCAACTTGTCATAAATTGAGTAAATTCTAGGCATGACAAATCACCAGAAACTACTGTTAGCATAATCTATAAAGAAATACAGTCTCACTGTGAATTACTGACACACAAGGCTATAATTATTAACATGACACATCAATACATTAAAAAGACCAACAACGGTGTATAAATAGCGACATTGTTGCAGTAACTCCTTTAGAGCCACTTGGCAGTCAATGATGGTTTATCATCTGTTCTGGGTTTTAATAACATGACATTTGGTGCAGATGGGGCAGAGTTGGGAATGAGTGTGGTAGTTACTCTGGGTGTGCACTCCCAGGTTGCACTGATCTGGACTCTGAGTCGGGGGATGAAGGGGGGGCTGGGAATTGGGGGCTTCAGCCTTTGAGGTGGGAGACATGGAGGAGCTTATCTCAAGGCCCCTCTCTCCAGGCTCCAAGGCAAGCTTTGGGAATAACCAAGATGTAGGACTGCTGAGAGGGGTCATGGGAGAGGAGTTCTCAGGACCAGATGATGTTGGTCCAATTCTTTACACCATGGCATGGTGTCAGGAGTGGAGAACCAGGCAACTAGGTTAGCATACAGAGAAAAGGCATGCTTGTTTCCAAACAGGCCACCCTGGAGGGTTAACCAAGAAGAATGAAGCGTTTGTACTTACCACATGAAGAATTTTGTTTTCTGTTTCATACACCGTGCAATCCTGTAACAACAGGAAGAGGGAAAACTATTTAAACTCCATAGTGATCCACTTTGCTTCAGCTTTGTTAACAACGTCTTGAAACACAACTCAGCATTATTACCGTGGCTGCATATAGATTGCCCTACATAAGGGTGCGGAACCATTTCAGTGGAGGGCCAAATTCCATTTGGGGAAGCTCTCGGAGACTGTTTTCCAGTGGACAACCATCCAAATGGGATGGTGTAAATTGGTGACCTGCGACAACCCAGCAGCCTTTTTGGCCCCTTCCAAACTCTGCTGATCTGTGATTTTACATTGGTGGTGGGGACAAATGCAAAAGGGGTAGAACAAAAACCACCAGCATCTTTCAGCTCAAAGCACCTTTTGCCAGGACTCAAAATGGAAGCCATGCTTGATAATAATTAACTAGCGCACACACATACTTAGTTAAACCTCAGACTGGCTAGAACAAGTCGACGTTCGCCTATGATAAATTATATTATCAAGGACCAGCAATGGATTCCAACTGACAACAAACTCCAGTTTTTGCTTGCTTGTTTTTTAATCTGTAGTTTAATTGATTTTTTATGGATTTTAGGGGCTGCCAAGTTTTTAGTTTTTATAATGCTTTTAATTGGATTGTGAGCTGCCTAGAGGTGCTGTGGCACAGCGAGCAGCATACAAATGTTTTAAATAAAATAAAGAAAGAAGAAAGAGTTGTAGGGTGGCTCCTTGCCCTCCAACATGCTACTTCAAGGGAAAACACATGCAGAGAACAAACAAACTATAAGAAAAGTGCCTCCTCCTAGTTCTGGTATTCTGTGATTCTGGATCCAATCTGCTTCTGTCCACCTGAGCTATACAATGGATCATTGAGGAAATGAGCAACATGTGACCCATGGATTCTCCAAGGCTCATGAGAATTGTGTGTGCAAACGCCTGTGTGTTGAAAGGAACACAAGTCAAGCTTGCCCGACCGTGTTCTCTCGGTGACAGGGTCATCCCTGATATGTGCAGAGTTGCGGTTCCTGTCAAAATATTCATCTTTGCTATATTTTTCCCCCTTGGTTCAGTCTTTTCCCCTGTGCCTGTCAGTCTCCCTGACATGCATAGGCATACAAGGCCTCAGTCACAGAAATATCCACAATCCGAATTTGCTTCACTTTGTTTGCTCCCCTTTCTGAGCAATACTGAAATTTATCAAGAAAGCCAACCCACAAAACAAACCATAAACCAACAACACAAAAGGAAAATACCACTCCAAATTGCATTCAGTTAAGTGCAGGAAGAAAAAAAGATCAAGCCAACCACTTGACATTGTGAGCGAAGTGCATCTGGAATTATCTTTTGTGTTTGTGTGCATTTACATGATAATTGCTCAGAAAGGTTCAGGTGCATCACTGCTTCCGTTTCAGTCCTGCGGTCTCTGATGCAGCCGCTCCTGCCTTAGTGGGACCTTGGAAGTGACAGCAAATGTCACTTACGCACAATTTCACCAATCATGCATCCACTTAAAATAGATCACTCCGGTGCTGCTGCTTTTCCTTCATGCTGCATGGAGGGAAATACTCAAACATGCATAAGTATACTTTTTCCTTTTTTTTAAAGCTTGCCTTCCCTGCGCAGGGTGGTCTGGTCCTCACAACAGTTGGAAAAAGCAGATGAACAGCCAGGGTTGCTGAAGGCAGGACAGGCACATTCAACGGACAGGGAAAGAAGAATGATTTTTCCCTGACTGCATATAGAAAGGCAGTTATCACTGAAAGCAGCACCTATTTATAAGATGAACATTGATTCTACCTTTTAGAAACCTGAAGTCTACTGCAGAACTGGTTCACACGTGCCTGAAATTGCTTCTGCCGGGGGCTTTCTGCTCACACATGGCTCCCACACATGTGTATAGAACTTTTACCAGCAGTGAGCAACTTCTATCCCTAGATCTAAATGCAATACGTGGCCTAATTTAATGTGGCACTTGGCCTAAATTCAGAAGCCTTTTGCAAGCTAAAAGTTTAGATCTCTAGCAAAAGTGTTCACAGATCACAGGGCAAAGAGGAAGGGTGGGAGGGAAAGAAGAGGATATTGAGGGTGAAGTGGGGGGAGGGGGAAGGTATTGCCAGAATAGAATAGAATAGAATGGAATAGAACAGAACAGAACAGAACAGAATAGAATAGAATAGAGTAGGAGTGCCAGAAAGACGATAGATATATGGCAGAAACTAAGAGACAAAATGTATTGGCCCCATCCATGTCTTTGCTGGCTTCAACTCCACACAGAGCTTCCATGAAGACAGAATGAAGATCCAGGGTGAACTTGGTAAACTTGAACCCTGGGATGAAAGCAACAGAATGAGATTCAGTAGGGACAGCTGCCAAGTCCTTCACCTAGGAAAGAAGCTAAATGCATTGATACAAGATGGGGAATATGTGGCTCAAGAGAGGTGAAAAAGAAAAGGAACTTGGAGTAATTACGGACAATAGGCTGACCCAACAATGTGATGCAACTACCAAAAGGGCAAATGCCATTTTGGGATGCGTTAACCGAAGTATTACTTTCAAATCATGAGAAGTAGCAGTTCCCCTATAATCCTCACTAGTCAGACCTCACCTGGAATACTGTGTCCAGTTCTGGGCACCAATGTAGAAAGATGTAGAAAAATTAGAAAGGGTCCAGTGGAGGGCAACAAAAATGATTCAGGGTTGGAAACAGTGCCCTGTGAAAAGAGACTTAGAGGACTGGGCATGTTCATCCTTGAGAAGAGCAGACTGTGGGGTGGGGGGCATGATATCGTTCTATAAGTACTCAAAGGCTGTCAGAAAGAGGAAGGGCAAGATCTCTTCTTGCTGATGCCAGAGTGCAGGACACAGAATAATCAAATAAAGCTGTGACAACCCAGATTCAGGCTGGACATCAGGAAAAGCTTCCTCACTGCCAGAGCAATACGATAGTGGAGCCACTTGCCAAGAGAGGTGGTGGCTCTCCCACACTGGAGACATTCAGAAAGAAACTGGACAGCCATCTGAGTGGGATGGTGTAACGTGGTGTCCTGCAACAGCAGGGGGTTGGACCCGAAGGCCTTCAGGGCCCCTTCCAGCTCTACTCCTCTGTGATTCTATGTGGTCCCCAAGAGATTACCCCTGTGGGAATGTAGCTCTCATTAGAATAAAAATGTTCCCCATTCCTGCTTCATGCAGCTATTAATTAAATCCATACAGATGAGGAACGGCCCCCACCACCTCTTTCCCAGACTTTCTTCTCCACCCCCTGCCATCCATAGGACATATTCTGCTTAGAAGTGTCATGCCCACCAGGTTAATGATAAAATAAATAAAGATGGAAGCAAGGCAAGAATAGAAATTGCTGTTGGATGAGCAAAATGGAAGCAAGTTTCCAGCTGCTGACTCTCCCTAACCTATTATTTTGGAGTAACTGAATGCAACATTCCTTCCCTGAAAAAAAAGGCTTTTGTAGGAAGTACAGTTATTCTGAGCAAATCTGGTTCATCACCCCCAAGCATTATTCTAATGCTTTCTACCTGCCAGGTTATCTTCTTCAAACCAAACGTTCCACATGATTTTTACTCCAGCTCCTTCTTTAGATTTTCTCCCCTTTAAGCTGAAATGTCAGATGATTTCTTACAAGTCAAAGAGATCTGATATAATTGCATAGTGACTAGGAGGCTATCAAACTCTGGTGTTCAATATGGCTGTATGGGGGTGTACCAACCTTCAAAGCTTTCCCCCCTTCTTCATTTAAATGAAAAGAATTTTTATATAAAAAATTGCCATACTAAACATAGTGATATTTTTAATGCAGTGGCTTGGTTCTGAGTCTCTAACAGCATCTCCGAAACTAACGTTCATCTGAGAGGAAAATGCTTTGACTTGGGTAATCATTTCCATATTTTTAAAAAGGTACACACACACGCACACACAGTGACCTACTTCTCAATCTGCTGTAGAGCTGTGCCCTAAAACGTAATTCTATGTTTAGTGCTAGAATATATTAGGAATTATTATTATTGATATTATTTTCATTTTTATACCACCCCAAAATTAGAGCTCTCTGGGTGGTATAAATCAGTCCAAAAACTACAAAACAAAACAGAGAATAAAAATGCACTGAACACGTAAGGATAAAAGTTTTAAAAGTTTATAACAGCTAAAAAAGACAATAACAAGGAATAACTCTGCAAAATACCTGGGATGGTAATTCCCCCAAGCCAATCAGAGCCCAAGAAAGTTTTTAAAGGCCTTGGAGAAGAGGGTTAATTAACCTAGCACTGAAAAGAAGAGACATTTGGTACCAGCTGGGCCACAGTGGGGAGGTTGTTCCATGGAGAGGGGCCACCACTAAGAAAGTCTCCCCCCTTGTTGCCACCACCTGTGCTTCCCCTGGAGTTTGCACTCACAGGATGCACACAGAAGTTCAGTGCGATGTCTGAGTAGATCGTGGCTATGAGAGGTGCTCTCCCAGGCACTGTGGCCATAAACCATACAAGACCCTCATCCCGTCCATTGTTGCAGCCAGACTCCAGTTCAGCACATCCACAGCCTCACCTGCTGATGATGAAAAGGAGAAATAGAGCTGCGTGTCATCAGTATCCTGATGTCAAAGCACTCCAGAAGTCCAGATGACCTCACTGAGCAGGTTCATGTCACTAATAAATAGCATGGGGGGACAGAACCAGACCCCGGAGGAACTCCATGCTGGAGAACCTTGGGGGCTGAGCAATATTTAAAGCCCTCCAGATGAATTCCATGCTGCAGCAGTTCGCTTTCCTCCCAGGAAAAGAAAGCCTGCAATTCCCATCACACCATAGCCAGCTCTTCTAGCAGGAGCATGCTGGGAGTGGTAGGCCATTTTCTATCTAAACTTGCATAGGATTGTTCCCTTCATTTATATTAAAATGTCTAGGGGTGGGGGAGAGCAAACAAACCCTTTAAAACCATTGTTTAGTAAGCATTACTGAGATACTCAAATTGCAGTTCTGGTTGTTTTCATGCTTTTCTTGCATGCTCCCATTTCTCTTTGGTAATTTGAATTTATTGAAGGGAATCCAAAAGATAATTTGTAAAATTAAATACCTCAGTAGTGCAATCTAACTATACAGACAAGCACGCATGTGAACCTAAACAATTATGTTGTTACTCAAGAGATTTTTTTTTAATTAAAAGATCGTTTTCCTTTAATTTTTCTGCAGTTATAGCGAATTAGAAAATCTCTTGGTCAGATTGGCAAGACATTTATATGCTCAGATCTGGCTACCCTCACTTGGGGTAGCATCTAGAGAGAAGTTTTGTAAAATGTGCTCTATATGAGACTACCTTTGAAATATATTCAGGAGCCCTGGTGCAGATGGCTGGATTGTCGTCTGGGACGAAAATTGGTTTTCTGTTCATTTCTGCACACCATCTAAATGGCTCCAAGCGAACCAGGAGAGGCCGGTGTCACCTACGTCATGGAGCTCTCCATGGTACTGAACTCATCCCCAAACCAAGTTTACCGCTAAGAACCACCATGGATCACTTCCATAAAGCTCCAAAGAAAGATTGCAACGGATGAGGAGTCTGAGTCTTCCTTGGGGTTACCTTAGCTTTGCCATCATATTCTTTTACATGAGCCTGCCTACCAGTTAAGATCGATATCAGAAGCTGAAACAAACCCGGTGTTATGCATAGAGGAGGCGTACACAACTGCGGGGGATACAAAGACCCTATTTCTCCCCTTCAGGGCCACGCATACCACAGGCCTCATGGAATTCCCCCTGTGATTCATGGCAGTGTTTAGAAGTGGGTCATCAGACCACTTTACCATTTGGCAGGAGCAAATAGGTGGGTGTTTCCCCCACTGGAACAGCCGATTTCAGCACTGCTGTGGGTGGGGTGCAGTAGAGGAGAGCAGGGACTATGGATTACCTTCTAGCTCTGGTCAAAGGAAAATATTATGTTGGGGAAAGGTGGAGCACAAGGGGGCAACTGCACCAGCTAAACCTCCTTGCACCCAGAAGCCAGAATGGGTCAGATTGCATGTCCTGACCTTTATATAAGCTTTCTGTCATGCTTCCTGCTTCAAAGCAAGACTATCCATCCTTGCTGGTGAAGGACCTGTTTTCTCTTGCTCTTTTGCTTGCTCTTGCCTTACCTTTAACTTGTCCCCCACCCCCACCCGCATTATGAAGGAATAATGGAGTACCGGATAAACTAGCCCTTACCTGTCCCCTCTCCAAAACTAATCCTCCGTACAGGTAACTAACTTAACACATGCTTTACACTTTATCCTGGCCTTCGCACTCATCCTCTCCCTTTGTGTCATCCATCCTCTCCCTTTACTTGAACTTCTTTTCATTCTTCCAAGCTGGGGTGGGCAATATGTGACCACTGCGCTCCCATGATCCTGCCAAATATTCAGGATCATGGGAGTTGCAGGCCCAAATATCTGGAAGTCCACGAGTTGCCCACCCTTATTTCATGCTATGCTATATCATTGGAAGGGGAGAAGTTTAAAGATGATGTTTAAAATAAACAAACAGACTGCAGAAAGGTGATCTAAGAATTGGAAATAAGGTAGTTAAGTTACACTTGTTTTGATGATGGCGAATTCCTGTTTGTTCTTTTCAGAACCTCATCCACAGTTCTGATATAAAAGGTTACGGAAATGAAATAGTTAGAGAAGCACTATCTCGTCAGCCAAAGAACACAGAAATATGCAGTACATTCTCTCTGGACTTTATGAACGAGTAACCCTTTGAAGTTCTTTCTTCATTATTTCTACAGCAAGATGGTGGAGATGCAGAGGAAAGCACTCAGCCAGCTTTCCTGGCTACAGCCCAAGGCAAGTTCTCCTTCTTTTCCTAAATGAAAATGCTTCAATTGGAGCATCCATTTTTATCATGCACAGTTTCCATTTAACTCCTCAAACACCAGATTGTAGCCAGGCTTAATGCCTGCCTTCAGAGTTGATGTTCCCACCTACATTATTCCTTTTAATGTATGTGTTGCACATGCAACTTGAGCTTTCTTTACAGCAAATCTAATTATTTCAGGTCAAGAATAAAGGACTTCGGTGACAGAGTGTGTCTGGGGAAAATTATCCTCTGCCTTGTAGAGCAGAATGAATTAATTTTAAAGAACAGACCTGACTGAGGTTTCGGATGGCTTCTGTCTGGTTTAGCAAGCTTTCTTTTCCAAGATTAATTGGGATTCATTTTGTGTTAACTCGCGAACAACCCCCCCCACCCCACCAAAAAAACCCCCCACAGCCTATTTGCTTTTTACATCAACCTAATTTAAATTATGCTTTGGTTAGATGGAGCTTTATACCTAGGTGATGGCATAACTGCAGTATGGGAAGAGGCTGGGAAAGAGCCAAGATTCAGGTAGCAGATGGTCAATTAAGCAAGAGAACAAAGTACTTGAGGCCTGCAGTGGGGAAAGGGCAATGTTTTAAAAGAGAGAGAAAGCTAGGTAATGGCCCATCCTGGAGGATTCCAAAATGACAAATGGTAAGGAGAGATCTCTCCCTCTTCCTGCCCCCTATAATGCTAGAATTTGAGGGGCAGTTTATGAACCACATTGGTAGATGATTTTACACATGGCACACTGTGGATTTGGAGGATGCGCACAATAAGAAAACCCAACTGAGGTGGTTTTGTGAAAGAAGTGGATCAGGTGAAAGCACGAAGTCTTGCAAGACCACCAAGGGGAGATGAACAATTACTGTGCTTCATTTGTACCCTGCAAAGAATGAGATAGTAATTGTTTGCTCAGACAACAGAGGGAGGGGAAGGAAACAGAGGGAAATGAAAATAGAAGGTTATTTCAGTTAATGGCACTTTGGGGGTATGGAGTTTTTTCTGTTGAGGGGCACATTCTCTCAGGGTAATTTCTTGTGGTCTGCCTGCAGGATGGGTAGGTCAACTTCCCCTTCCTCTCCTCTGGCACCCTCTTCCTTCTGCTTCTGCCACTCCTTTCTTTGCCTGTTTCCCCCACATCTCTCTGTTTCTGCCTCCTCTTCTCTCCACTTTTTTTCTGGATCTCTCTTCACTCCACCCCCCCTACTTTTCCCACCATTTGGCTTCCTCATCAGTGTTTCTGTGCATGTATGACCAAGACTCTGCCTCTTCTTGCAGGGGCCCAAAAGACAGGAGATCCTTTTATTTTCCCAAGATTTTAAGTCCTAACTGTTGTTTAAATTGGGTTTTATCTGAAGATTGATGATGCTGTAGTACCATCCTGAGACTTTTGTGATAGTATAGTATAAAAAACTATCTATCTATCTATCTATCTATCTATCTATCTATCTATCTATCTATCTATCTGCATGCATAAGTATATATTATAACAACATGATATTTTAAAGTATAATGAAGACCAGAAAGAGAGAGTTCAGAAATAATAGGCAAGAGAGACTGGTCAACTTAAGCATGCATTGGGTCCCGAACTGCAGATCTAGTGAACAACAAATTAGGACAGGAATATTTGAAGAATTCATCCTCTCTGAACCCCAAGAGAAACTGATCTGATCTGCACATTCCAGAAAAATTGGAACTTGGCTCTCCTTCAGATTTTGCAAATCTCTAGATGTTGCTGCACAGTTCTTGGCTCAATAATCATATTGACATGCATTTATAAACAAGTATTTTGATAGGCAATACTTTCAGAACTGTATTTTTCAAGAAAATTCTTTCTCTCTCTTGCGCACACACACATGGAGGGAGGGAGAGAATCTGTATTTATATTTCAAGCAGATTAAAATGAAATGAATTTTCAAGCAGATTAAAATGCAGATTGATATGAAAAGGGGAAAAGTGAGCTTCCCAATGAGCATATGCAAAAATGACACATCGGAAATTATTTGATTTGCAAATGCATCAGTTAAGGCTTCGCTTTCTTTGCCAAAATATTAGAACATGAAAGGAATCAACTATACCAATCAATAAAGTCTGTTTGCACCAATAAGCCAGAATGGATTTTGATCCCTAAAAATGCTACCAGGCCAGGTTTAGCCACCAGAAGAGTCCAAAATGTGGCTTTGCTGGCTGCAACAAAAGATGGGAAATAACTCCATATGATCCACTGTGTGCAGCAAACTGGGAAAAGGTGCCTCTCTGGAATAATAAGCATTGCTAACCTTCTGATTGTGCATGTCTCTAAAGTTAGCAATGCCATCCATCTGTCCTTGCCCCTTACCTGGATTCCCTTGTGGTTCTTCCTAGCTGCAGCTTCCATGTGTGTTTTTTTTTCTTGATGGAGGTAATTCAGTATAAGATTAACTAGCCCTTACCTGTTGCACAATGGTTGTTAGTTCCAGGCACAGTTGAACGATGTTATTTTTCAGCAGTGAATATTCTGTCACGCTGACGAATGGAGACCTATTTAGGAAGAGGAGATTTTAGAAGTTACAAACCTTCTCATGTGCAATTCTTGTAATCAGACTAACATGATAATGAATATGTACTAGTGACTGTGACGGATGAATGCATATATACTGATTTGTTCAATTTTGTGCAGAGTTAATGAAAATATTAACTATTAATAATCAAAATGGGAGGAGGTTTGGTTTTCCTGATGACCCAGTCAACTGGCCATATGGATTTCTGCCTCTTTCAGCATAAATATTGATAGTGGGACTGAAAGCACAGTCGTTGGTAAAAACCAAGTGCCTGAATCATAATTTAAAGGTCTTAAATTTAAAATCCCTAAAATCTTCTAATGAGTAGGCATGGTCACGGAGCATAAGGCAATATGTTGTTTCTCTATATAAGCAAAGGTAGGAATGAACAGAACTAATAATTCCTCTCCATTATGATTTCAAGATTTCAGCATCCAAACAACTTCCACTTAAATTGCAATCAGAAAGATGGACAGCCACATTTTCATTTAAATAATTGTAATCAAAATTACCCATTGAACAATATGCAAAATAAAAAATCACTGACTAAAAATGTCCATTTCCCTTATAGGCTAAAGCATGAAAATACACATTTTTCAAGAATTTGCATGGCAGGGGCATCTGTGCAACTCTGAATTTGCACAAATGCATACAATTTCATTTGTACAATATCCAAGTCTGCCCATGGTGAAAGCCAGCATGCAACCTGCAAAACATAAAGTGACTAGATTTTACAATGCATGTACATCTTAGGACAGAACAGATTGTGTACACCCATTACTTGTATTTAAAAGTGCAGACAACTTTTCAATATACTCATAACAGTGACACTAAAATCACTATCGCATTTTCCTCCAAGTTTTAGCAGTTCAACTTTGCTGGAACGACTTCTGAAAATTCCTCCCAAGAATCTAATTCCCAACAGGTCCCGCCTTTTCAAATTTTAACCTGGAAACCATGTCCAGATTCTATGTATTAATTGAATTAAGATGGATTGCACCAACAACTCTAATTCAAGCACTGCGGCCCTTAATAGGGTATGAATCTCCCATGCTTATCAACTCCAGTCGAGACCAGATATGGCTGTTCCTTAGTCACTTTTCTCTGACATGTGAATTTGAAGAGAAAGATTCAAAATCTGGCAAGGAAGATTAATACCCATCTTCACCTCAAGTTGTGACAAATATAGAGAGGGGAATGCTGGAGAGAGTGAAAGAGAGATAGAAAGAAAGAGGGAGAGGAAAGAGAAAAAAGAGAAGCAGGGAGGAGGAAATACTATAAAGCAGTCTTCCTCAGTTTAGTGCCTCCAGATCTGTTGGCCTCAACTGCCATCAGCCCCAGCCAAAGCTGGGAATTGTAATCTATACACCTGGAAGAGACCAGTTTGGGGAATCTTGGAATAAGGAATACAGGTCTTGTTTCTTTCCAAAAGCCTGACACATGCTCAATTACCTGTCTAGCCAGGCAAGCAGGTTCTTGGCAGCACCAATCAGGTCAACCACAGAGGTAAGGAAGTCATTTGGCAGTCTTCTGGAGGCCCTCCCATCATAATGTCCACTCCTCCTCCTCCCCGTTATGAAGTTCTGAAGGTTCTTGGCAGAGGCATTCAGCTTGTGAGAAAGAGTTCTCAGGTTTTCTGTCTCCAGGCCATAATTCTGCAAGCAAAGAGGAAATGGAGAACATTTAAAAAGTGCTGGGGGAAGGGAGTGGAAAAAAGAAGAACATGGCGCAAACCTTTGATTTCAAGCATCTTTTAAACCTATAAAATAATTCTGCATTTAGATAAGGATATGGCTTCGCAGAACTGACATGTTTTCATTGCCTTTTACAACCACTATTATTTCTTTTAAATATTAATTTCTATTTGTTGCATTGGTGGAACATCTAACTGGCAAATGACCTTGCAGTAGCTTACTGTAATTCACAAACAAATTCCAGGGTGATGCATGATGTTCATTAAGAACAATTAAAATGCAAAGTATTTTTTATCTACAATTAAAACAGAAATAAAAAATACTGCCCTGTGTGGCAACAGATATGGATTTAGATAGCTGCATGCACAGTCCCAAATGCCAGCTCAGCAAACCTGAAAGAATTAGGAGGGGAATGTGGAACTAAGCAGACCAATGAGGAACTGGCTCTCTTAGAGAAAAGATCTGGGAACCACTGCCCAATCTCCTGGGTGAGCACCTGGGGATAATGGAGAAAGTCGTTGAGTTCGCACTTGCAAACCACTACTTGAACTGTCACTGTTATTCTTTTAAATTCACAATCCTCCACAATTAAAAGTGATAGATTTTAAAAAGTGTATATTAGGGACATTAATGTTAAAGGCATTGTATTAGGAAAAAGGTTTGCAGAAAAATAAATAAATAAAGGGCAAATTCAACAGCCTGCCTATAATATTAGGAGCAATGCATGCAAAGATGCCTGTGCGTTTTCATGCAAATTTATTTGCTTCTTTTGAAGAAGCCCCAAATTTAAGATGGGGCAATTCTCAATGTTTGGGAGTAACATGTCACCAATTCTGCATTTAGAATTTGATGGGCAGCAAGAAGAGGAGTACACTGACATGGCAGTGAAATGCAACTGAAGCCTATTCATAGTTGGCTCATTGTGCTTCTTTTTCAGTACCCCATTTTCTCTGTCCCCATGTTAACAAGGAAAGCCTGGCTTTAATCCCATCCACCTTGGGGATATATGACTTCAGCTTGCATTTGGCCCTCTACATCCTTCCAAGACTTCCATTTCACTCCGGTGCCCCTGTCCCAACTGTGGAAGCTGCCTAACTACATCCGAATGTTGACATTCGTATTGTTCCCACCCATGTCATTTTTAATCTGGAACATTACTTTGTTCCGGGGAGGCATTAGAAATCCTGAAAAGTAGGCTGTATGGAGCAGTTGCCATACCTGCAACAATGGCCAAAGGCAGTCTTGATTTCATTAGCCCTCTCCAATATTTGGTTTTGGTGCCATTTGGTATTTCAAGAACATTACACTTTTCAGAGACAAATCTCGAAGCCAGGCATGGAAAGGGCACTGCAGCTGAAGCTGCCTGATGAATTGAAGCCACCCTTCTCCAGCAAAACTCCTGACTGATGAAGCAACATCTTCATTCATCGTTACATAAAGTTCGTGATATTTACAGTGAGTGTTTTAAATAACACCATGAAGCTGGACGGGCCCCCGCAATGCTGAGATAGACACGCACTTCATCTCTTTATGTCAAGAATGTCTCATGTTTGGCTTTTTATGAAAGCTGCACGTAAATACTCCTGAATGACTAGCATTTGGATGTAGCTGGAGGGTTGAATTTGATTTTGAAATAATGTGAGTTAAATAAATTTGACATTGGGGTACACTAGCCATGGAACTGTAGACTTGGAGAAGGGCCCTGAAGAGGTGCCTGTTTACTCCGGCCTTCTCTTTCTGTTTTTTACTTGGTTGGTCTTGCTTGGTTGGTCTTTACCTGCTATTGCATTTTAGGAGTTTAGCAATGTTTTATTGTGGAGGTCTGCTTATGAACAATTGTGGGCTTAAAGTTGCAATGGTTGTTGTTTTTAATGATATGGATGTTACTATTGCAAGCTGCTTTGGGAGGAATCTTGCCCTGAATGGTAGCCTAGAACTGTTTTAAATAAATGAAGATGCTGCTGTTCAGAAGAGTTTCCCTCCCCACTTCAAAAACCTGTCCATATATCTATACGGTTGGGTTGGAACCATTTTGGCAGTGCAGGACAAGCAGACCTATTTGGCCCATTGCTTGCCATAAAGATGGGAGTACAAGCACAAGGGAAAAGGAAATACGCTTAGGAAGTTTTTGAAACCTTTTTGTTTTTGGTTTGACCATCTCTCTCATGCGTGCGTGCAAGCAAGGAGCATATGCACAAAACTCTTTCAGGCCAATTACAGAGCAGCTTTGGGATCTAAGGTGAACTGTTTGCAACATTTGCTTCAGAAACTTAGTGGAAAGGAATATTAAATTCAATAACCCATAGTAAGTACCCCTCTAGAATAACATTCCTGGGTTATTTATCCCTAAAACCAGCACTGGGTATATTTCATAGTCCCTAATATTGATTGGGGATGATCTTAAAAGCAGGGTTTTCAAGAAATCGGGATTAGCTTCTCTTGATTAAATTGGAAAGCTGTTCCAGGGAGGGAGGAGCTGTCTCCTTCTTTTAGGGAGGGTTCTCAGAAAAGATACTTGTCAAAGGTGAGTGGGTGAAAGACGATCCTTTCACTATCACTTAAAATCAGTCTTCAAAAAATGCAAGGAGATCGGCGAACATACGTCTGGGTCATGACAAGCAGTGCTTCTCTACAGAAGCAAAAGATACAATGATAGTAGTGTTAAAATGTGAGCTCTCCGATTATTAAATGAGATGTTAGAAAAAGCCTATTAAGCAGGAAAGTCTGCTTAAGGAATTCCCCGTGTCAGGTGTTATTCATGCCCTGCCAGTCTTGTCACTCCACAGCGGTGGTTTTAATTGGGTAATGATGATAATCACGTACTCCGTGGGCAAGAGACTGAGATCTCTGAGTAAGAGGCAATTGAACCCAACATGACCTAATTTTCACAATGTCTTATCACAGAAACCCACTTCCATATAATTTAACTTATCTTTTTGCAGGGAAAGTGTCTAGCAGAATTACTATAATGTTGACTTGCCAACGTTACTACAGCGCAATTTTTCTCACAGTACTGATTGATAAAGCTCGGTTTATGTTGAGGTGCCGTTGGGGTTGCAATGCTGGCATTCCAAAGAGGACTGGGTGAATCACTGACTATATTAATATAACTTGCTGGCCCTGTTTATTAGGGAATTTAAACCAGTTACACCGAAGAGGAATATTTCCACATTCCTAAGGAGGACGATCTTGTTCACTCTGACCAAAGCTTGCTGGAAGAATTTTAGTTCCTAGAACAACAATCTTACAGTGCAATTCCATCCCAAAAAGCTTGCTGGCTCTGGAACAGTAGGAACTGCATGCCTTTTTTTGTCTAAAGATGCAAGCTCAGTGACTTAATACAGATATACTTGAAAGTTCAGAATATTTGTGTGTGTGTGTTTAACTTCAAGTGAAAAAAGCAAAGGAAGAGTAATTGAGGATGAAAGCCAATGACAATTAGAGGAGTAAAAGCTTGTCCTGCCCCAGGTTAGAAGCTTATGAAAATGAAATAAGTATTTATTTCATGTTTACATGGAATTGTTTACATGGTATTGAAAACAGCAAATTAGGTATTTGGGGAGAGAGTTTCCTAAGCATACGAAATTGGCCCTCCTTAAGGGAGCCCCCTAATTTTACTTGGCGAGGCATGGTATCATGGCTTGTGGATGTCCTAGGTTTCAGTCCTATGTGGGTGCCAATAACCTGGCAAACTTGGTTTTAAGTTTTCAAGTTTTGAAATGACCGATTTGGCCAGATCACACTGATTCCATCTTATCAAGGTCCAAGAGAAAGAAGCCTCCATTTTGCAATCAGTTAGCATCTCTGCTAAAACTGAAGGTCTGGTATTCTGGGTGCTGGTACTGTAATGCAGATGCCCTGGCTGAGGTCTTCTCAAGGCCAAGATCCTCTGCTTAGGAAGTGATACTGAATGGTAAACTGTCCCAGGGTCTGAACAATGAGGCATCTCCTAGCCTCCATCTCAGAGCTGGGATCAGCCATCGCTAGGCAGTTAGCAGGCAAAAGATGAAAGATTTTTCAAGAATCTCCATCCAGGCAAAGGCGGAGGGTCGGAAGGAGATATATTCCATTGGAAAAAGAAATGGGAGGTGTTACTTTTCCAGCAGGGGTGCCATGAGAAAGTCTCTCAGGAAGGAGGAGAGCTTGAGGTAGGCACGAGGGGAGATTCATAGAATCACAGAATAGTAGAGTTGGAAGGGGCCAGAGGGTCATTGCATTATGCTTTGAAGCAATCGACTGTTATATAATACCTTTTCTTTTTAGAAGTAGCTTCCTCCCATTATATCTTTTTTGTGGCTGGGGGAAGGGGGAGGAATATCTTCAGATCAAAGTGCAAAGGGCCCTTCTATCCTTGCATTTCCTTATTAATACATTAAAATATTCACTGGGAAGCATTGGTTATATTAAGAAGCATCCTTTTTACAAAAAGGCTTCAAAGGAACCAAGGAAGGGCTGGAATGTCCAGGTTTCTTTAATGCCAAGCTTGTGTGGAATGAAGGGGAAGCCGGTTGAAAGAGGCTTTGTATCAAGTATTAGCCTGGGAGGGTGGGCATCCCTGAGCATAAAGTTGTCCAAAATTCAGGGCTATTTTAAATTATGCAAAGCTGGCATTGCCTCAAGGCAGCACTGAAGCAGCTGCACCTATATAGGATGCAGAGATAACGTGGGCACATCCGCTTTCTCCATGAATGTTCCTTTGCCTCAAGATCTAAGACCCAAGGTCACCTAACAATCTTCGTCAGCAAAACACCATCTGGAACCAACAGCTGAATCTACAAGTAGTCAGCAGAAAGGCATTCTTGGAGGACATTCATCATGAAGGGCCAAATTATCTGTTTTGGTTTTAATTTATGTCTTATTTTTCCAAGTTTGTCCCAAACATAAAGAAATTTCCAGTCTTAAGATTGGTTCATCTTGCACTTTTGAGAAGTCTTTTTTAGCTTCTTAAGAAAATCCACATG